AACCGGCTAGGTCGATAGCAATATCCTTTATCAATAGCATTTCCACCCTTTTTGTTAACGGACTCACGCAAAAAATCCTGGAATAATTTGATTGGAATCTTTACAATTCGAGACTCTTACGTATGTTGAAAAATTCAAAGGTAAACATTCGCCTTCAAACAAAACCTCTCAAAGGGAAACATTTTCATCAACGTTTCCCGTTTCGATTTAATCGCGATTCTAATTGAAACATTTTCATCAACTTTTCAATTAGAATCGGGATTAACTCCGAGTATCAAAAGCAAGTTTTACCTCCTTTCTGATATCCAACTTGTTACTTTAGATCATTTACAAAGAGTAAATAAATCGTTCCAATGATAGAAAACCATGATCAACACTGACCAATTTCTATTAATATAGCAAGTCAATTTGTAAAAGACGACGAAAGAAAATTAATATTATTCTGTGCTTTGAGCCCCCTTGTAACAAAAAAGTACAAAATTTGCATATATAATTTGCATGAATATATAAATAAAGTGTGTCCTTTTTTAAAGATTGGTAGTTCAATAATTTGTTGAAATCGTGAGGATCGGTCAGGAATGAAGTATTTAAAAAAAACTTTTTTTCACTTTTTGCCGACGTTTCGACCTTCATTCGAGCCATCTTCAGCACCTGGGAGAATTACAAAACTTATGTGGAATGGAAAAAATATAATACAGATGTAAATAGTATAAATTTGGTACCAAGTATATCATAGTCACATAAAGTATGGTGCTAGACGTGATGTGTCGTATTTGTTTGTTTCACGAACCACACTTTTTGTGAGTGTAAAATACATGGTTCAACATTTATGTTATTTACAACTGCATTATATTTATTTCCGATTAACATATGCTTTGTGATTATTCAGAAATCGTGAGATGCGGTCTGGTGTGATGTAGGTTTGAGAAAAACATTTTCTTTATCGTGCCAACGTTTCGATCTTTATTGAGATCATCTTCAGGGCTCAAAGTGTTTGTCTTCTGTGTAATTGTGCCATTCTTGCGTGTCGTGTTGAGAGTGTTTCTGAAACCTACATCACACCAGACCGCATCTCACGATTTCTGAATAATTATCGATTAACGGTCACTAATCACTACACAAGTGCTTTGAAGTTCATCCAGGCACCGAAGATGACCAGAATAAAGGTCAGAACGTTGGCAAAAAAATGAAATATGTGATTTTCTAAAATAATTTATTTCTGACCGATCCTCACGGCATCAGCAAATTATATAAACAAAGATTCAAATGTAATAGCATAAAAATAAATGAAATGTTCTAAATTAAATAAGATGCGGAAACAATTAAGAGAAATTAAATGTACCGAAACAACCGAAAATTAACAAGTCTCGGTGTTAAATTGGATAGTCAGGAGGCAATAGAAAACACGGGTCTAGGAGGAAGGGATTGAGGCTTTGCGATTGCGGTTACGCAAGGAATTCCAGAGGTTGCAGGAACGGGTAAGGAAAGTTAGACTAAAAGCTGTGTATTTGTATGAGTGGGTTAGAGATTAGAAGGACGGGAATGAGTGTGGCAAGTATGTATAGAAGACTCAAAAGTTGTAGGTTATAAATTATATAGGGTTTATAGATTATATAGGGTGTTAGGAAGAATTTGTTTAGGAAGGAGCCAATGAAGCTCCAGCGTTAAGCCGAGAACACACTTACCCGATGCAACACCATGTGACGCTACCCGATGCTACCGGACACAAATCCAAAGCCCATTTTTTTAGATTGTATTACCCCCGTGCACATCTTCCCGATGCTATGTTACGCCGACCCTACTCAACGTTCTGCGATCCCCCACTGTCCAGATTTTCGTCGGGTCGCATCGAGTACAGACGAAGACAAAAGAACCGAACATCCATACTTTTATTCAACCTTCATGTATTACTGCCATTATATTAATTACAACATATTTATTTTAATATAAACCAAATTAACCGCGATCAAAAATCCATTTGTTTTTATTTAAAAAAATTAATTTTAATGGTTTGGTAGAAAATTGGTTAAAAAACCAGGATACCATTTTTTAATATAATGAATTTCACTAACAATTTATTACACGGTTTTGTTTATAACATTTAACTAACAATTTATTTCATGGTTTTACTCATAAAATTACACCAATTTCGTAGGGAAGCGTCAGAACAGGACACTCATATTTTTGTAGTTTATTTTAAACTATGTATATGTAATGTGGTCTTTATAGTAATTGCAACAGTCCTATTTTAATGTACACCAAATTAAACGAGATCAACAATTCATGGCTTTTTATTAAAAATTATTTAATTATGATGGTTGAGCAGAAAATTTATCAAACCTTTGGTGTAACTTTATTTAAAACATTACAATTAATTAAGGTTTTTAGTTGAGATGAAAAAAAGTTAATGGAACGAGCGGGATTCAAACCCACGACCCTCGGCTAGATACGCCGCTGCTCTACCACCTGAGCTATCGTGACCTTGATCCACTCGGACTCAGGTGGTAGAGCAGCGGCGTATCTAGCCGAAGGTCGTGGGTTCGAATCCCTCTCGTGCCATTAACTTTTTTTCATCTCAACTAAAAACCTTAATTAATTGTCATATATTAATTGGTCAAGCGGACCACGAAATTAGTGAATTTATTTAAAACAATTAAGTTTAACAAACAGTTTATTACATGGTTGTGCTCTTAACATTTAACTAACAATTTATTACAAGGTTTTTCTCAAAATAGTGCATTAAGAACAAAAGAGGTGTTGCGATCGTGACAGTGATTATTGTGATACACGCTTACTTTACGTAACATGCACTTGACTTCGCATAGGTGTGCACACCCTACCAAAACGTGGCAAGGCGTAGGCTAGCATCGGGTAGCGTCGCATGGCGTTGCTCGGGTAAGTGTGTTCCCGGCTTTAGGAGCTAGCTTTGGGAGCTAAATATGAAACGAAGAAAGCAGTTCTTGATACTCTTGAGTCTAATAACAAGATCGCTGTTGAGTACACTGTAGACCAAACAGTCACAATTGAAATGGTGAAAAACACGGGAGTAGACGAGTAGTTTATGTGTGTTGATTGCGAAAGGTTAGCTTGCATGACGGAATTAGCGGAAGGTGGAGAAGAAACTGTGGGAGATTTGGGGAATGTGGGGTTTCCAGGATATGGTTTGATCAAAGATATCGTCTACGTTTTTGTCAGATACAAGAAGATCGGTTGGATGTTAGTGCAAAAGAGGAAAATAGGAGGCAGGACTGGAGAAGATATACCCTGAGACTAATTGATACAGTGAGAGGGTGCATTTTCAACGGCCCAGCTGAAGGCATTTAAATTTTGTATTCGTGAGACGGAGTGAAAAGCAAAGATAGATTTGGCAGTCATCTGCGTAAAGATATGTACAATATTTAAGGTAACTGGAAGATCGTTAATATAACAACAAAAGTGCGAGGTAGATATACTGGAAGGGAAATTGAGTTTAAAAAGAATAAGAGAATGGTTTATAGCGTCAAAGGGTTTAGAAAAGTCAAGAAAGAGAAGGATAGTAACTTTACTTGATCCAATTATTTTTAATAATTTTATATAATGTAACAAGAGAGGCCAGAGCGATGTTGAAATTTTTCTCCAACTTGTATAACTGGATCAAATTTCTTAGTTATTTAAAAAACCAAAAAAAGACCGAAAGGATAATAACACAATATTTGTTCATACATTTTTTTAGATATCAGAAAGAAAGAAATGAATTTAATAATTATTATTAATTAAATCCATTATATTTCGTGGTCAGATTGAGCAAATAACTTCTTTCAATTAATTAATCTTTATGTAAGGTATTGGTTGAAATGAAAATGTTAGTGTCACGAGCGGAATTCGAACCCACGACTTGCGGCTAATTATTAATTATAGTGTATTTCAAAATCTAATTAGTAATTTCAATTTAAAAAAAATTGTTTGATGATTAAGATAATCAAATGGTTAAACAGCATTTGTACACGTATTAAATGTATTAAAAACTACGTAAAACCTTAAATATGTGCCAATACGTATAACTTACTGCATGCAGCCATCTTGGCATAAAATGCTTTTAAATTACATTTCAGAATGAATTTTTTTTAATTGGTTCTGTACCAGTGCATTTTGTTTTGTGTTTTCTCAGAAATGAAACCCACGATCAAATTTCTTCATCTTGCAATCGATATTCAGAGTAATATGTTAGCATCGATAACACCCTCGACTGGGACAGATTAATTTCCAGCCACATGATATGAAAAACAATCCCAAAACAAAAATGCGTAACTGATGCATTTTGCTTTTACAGTTCCATCTAAAAAGCGCCTTCCAGTTTTGTTCACCTCTCTTAAAGGGCTCTTATCTTTCTGATCTAAGGCGAGCATAATAGTAGCAATTTTTTTCGTTCCTGTTCACAAGAATCCCTTTATCCCAATAATGATGACTCGCGTTGTTTCGACTTACCTCCAACAGGTAAACTACATTAAATTCACTATTTTCCGTGGTCCGCTTGACCAAATTGAAAAATGGCAAAAAGGAGGGAAAATTCAACAGGTGGGATTGAGATGAGAAGTTAGTGCCCGAGGGGATCAAAGTCAAGATTGCTCAAGTGGTAGAGTAGCGGTCAAGCCGAAGTTCGTGGGTTCGTATCCCGCTCGTGACACTGACTTTTTTAATCTCAACTTAAAACCTTAATTGGAAGAAACTACATTGTTGAATTTAACTCCGCCCGTTAATAAGCACGCTATTGAAACACAAATAACGTAAGACGCTATTTTAGATTGCGCTCCTTTAAATCCGGCATGCGCACATCTATACATTTAGTTACCCTTTATACTTACGCTATGCAAAATCTCCCTAAGTTTTTCCCCTACGATTTGACATTTTATGGCGTCCCTTGTTTATTTTTACTTTTTCCAGGTTATATACCTTTTAATAACATATCGCGTGATTTAAATAATGTGATTTTGATTTAAAATTTCAGTTTAAAAATCCGCAACCTGAGATTATGATTTTTGTTTATTTCTTAGAAATACAATTTTCTATTGAGTCACTAGGGTTAATTCTTTTGGTTTTGAGCTTGATGATAATTTTATTACGACCGAACATTTATGAGGCTTTTAGAAGCATAAAAGAGATGAAATAGAAAGCTAAAGTCATTCCACGTTAATGGGAAGTTTTTGGTGGAGGAAAGTGCAGGGCCCGCCTTCGGCGAAGTCTGCGGCGGTGTGGCCGTCACCGTCGAGGACCCACTTTGTAGTAAGAAGTCCTTCCACTCCGACTGGACCACGGGCGTGGATCCTAGCCGTGCTGATCCCGACCTCAGCACCTGAAATCGAATATGAAAAACTTTTTTAAAAACTGTAGTTCTGAAGAGAACCCACTGCCTCATAAAGGAAACTTCCGTTTGGGGTTCGTTCAAGTTCACACACAAACACACGTCAATAAACCGGATAAACTTTGATGGTCCTTACAGATTGTTGTTTCCAACGATCCGAATTTTAAGCTTAAAACTCATCATCAGGTTCAAGAATTTACAACCAAGACTCTAGACAAGAATTGCAAGAGCCATTCTTGCAATTCTTGTCGAGAATCGTGGTTGTAAATTTTTTAATATTTTAAAAAGTTAAACAACAAACCCCAACTTTATCATTTCTATTCTATACAAATTGAAAGATAATATTTGAACATTCATCCGCGTTAAAATCGGTTTACTGAATAAATCGAAAATCTGCTTGTTTGGACTTAAAACAGATCCTGATAGCTCATTTCCCATCGTGAATATTGGAATAGAAATTTTTCTAACTGAACGATCGAAAGGTTATTAATTTCTTGTCGGACGAGGAAAAAAAAGCCTTGACACAAACCAATTACAAGTTGTGTAACTACGAAATAAAACAAATCACAAAAAGGAGAAAAATGCAGTTCTTGACAATTTAAAAAATAAGATGCAGTCTTCCATCAGCGTTCCCGAATTCCTTATTTAAATATTTACACAAGATCAGTACCATCTGCGAAAATATCCCTTATAGTACGTATTTTAAAACGGTAAATATATAACAACCAATAGACAGAAGAAATTTTAATATTTCTTATAAATATAACGAATCCTGTTTAATATGTTAGATGTATACAAAACATTTTTACTCACAAGTAATCCGGATCTTTGTATATTTTGGACGAAGAAACTAATTCAATTGTTTTTGCCATGCTTTTGACCTTATTTCACCTTATAAAGTTGCATTACTGTTACTGGCCTTGGTAAGTTTAATATATATATTACATATATATAACATCAATGATTATTTGGAGATCGTGAGATGCGGTCTGGAGTGACGTAGGTTTTAGAAAAACATTTTCTTTATCGTGCCAACGTTTCGATCTTTATTGAGATCATCATCAGCGCCTGGGATTTATAAATGTTGTTTAAATGACGAAGAAAATGTTTTTCTAAAACCTACGTCACTCCAGACCGCATCTCACGATCTGCAAATAATCATTGACTAACAGTCACAAAACACCACATATAATATGAACGCATAGACATATTGGATTGGTTTATATGATCTATCTAAAAACTGCCCGATGAATCATGATATATAGACAAGGAGAAAGAGTGACAAAATCCGGTAATATTGTTCTGAAGTTGGTAGACGAGGAACAGCTTTGTCAGAACATCACTATGACATAAATTTTGATGAAGTGAAGGTTGTTGACAGGAAAAAAGGCCTAGGCAGGTCGACATTAACAATATCAGCGTAATATACAATGACTTGAATGCCTTCCTAGAATGTCAATCTTGATTCTAGCCAATATTGGGTGGTTACCTCCTTTTATTTATTAACTCACGATATCTGAATAACTTTATTAAAAACAATCTAGAAACTATTTTTAATTTTAATTAAATAAATAACTTTAATAAAAGTTTTAATTTTGTTAACTATTATTTTTAAAGTTTTATTAGAGGCAACCAATTTTTTTAAATACTCAATTGGGCTCCTGCAATGTCTTTTCCATCAAAATTTTCGGGAATTTCACCAAAGTTGCCTTATTTTATAAGTGATCCAAAAACAAACTCACTAACTCACTAGTAAATATGTTAGAATTTTTCTTAGTGAAATGTTTTTAAGGCTGAAAAAAGTAATATAGACGACAAGGAGAACAGCAACCCAAGAACTTCGTACATGTAATATTGACTGAGGTGACTGCATGGAGGGCATCTTCCCTTCTTTTCCTCATGTCATTGCACATGATTTCAATTTCCTTTGTGAGCTGTTCCCACGTTTCGATGGGTGTGCTGTTCACTGCACTTTTCAGAGTTCCCCACATATAAAAATCTAGGGGATCGAATCAGGTCTCCTCGCCGGCCATGCTACGAAAAGAATGTATCTAATTTTTGGTATCAACTAATAAATGTTCTTATTAAAAATATGACATGTACTTGAAATGCTCTCTCTTCTTAAGTTTGATATCACGTTTTCAACCTTGCAAATGAGTTTTCAGTAAGAAAATGTCTAAAAAATGTTACAGAGAGTATGTCCTTGGAATATTTATAAAATAAGCCAACTTTGGTGAAATCCCCGAAAGTTTTGATGGATCAGACATTGCACGAACCATAAATTGAGAATTAAAAAACAAAAAAAAAAACATTGTCTTTGCCTATTGAGTGGCTATTGTGTATTCGGTTGCGCAGATTTTTCAATAGAAATGTTGTTATCTCGTATGAAAATTAATTTTAATGTAATAATGGGGTATTTTAATGACACTAAAGTTTAGAAATTACGGTTGTATGTTTAAAAAAATATCCGATTTTAGGCTAAAAGCACAAAAATGTGAATATATCAGAAAAGAGTCAAGGTAGAAACCTCGTTCTGGTGGCATTGAATGTTTTATTTTGTGAATCCACCATGGCAATATTGACATTTAGCCCTGTACAGTTGTATAGTTATATTGATTTTAAATCAACTGTGTATGTATGCTTGGCAGCATAATTGAATTTTTTTCTTCATTCAGACCACGCCTAGGAACCCAGATTATTCGTGGATGACGAATACTGTGCTTACTTACCATCTAATTTTGAGTTCTTGAAATTTAGTTTATGAAAACGCTAAAATCTGATATACAAGAGGCTAATAAATTTATTCTACTTTAATAAGGAATGTTACAGGGGTGTCAGTGGCCGCAACGGTTTAGGCGTTGACACGGCGCTCATCATTGTAAGGTAAAGGTCCTGGGTTCGAATCCAACCAATCCAATGTTATGCAATCGGGTTCGAATGCAGGCCGCTGGATTCGAACCCGATTTACTTACAAATGGGATTTTTTCAAAAACACCGGCACCATGAGGGTTTATATGACATCTGCTGTTGCGAACCCTCATTAAAAAAAAAGAAAAAGAAAAACGGAATATTTTTAACTATAGCGTTCAAGAGATTCGTCGATTAATTACTAATAATAGAAAATGTCCATATTTCAAGTTAATCTCATAAAGCAACTCCGTTCATCGTGCATAAAAACAGTGGTTATTATCCAAAAAATTGTCAAAAACGTGCTTTTGTTAATTTTATATTTTCATTTTTCGCCACGATTTTAAGGGGGTTAACCGTCAGGAGACTAAGATGGAAGGAATAAATATTCATTAATGTCAAAATTGTCTTATTAAAACTGTAGATTTCAAGCAACCCGTGGTTATATTCATGGACTTCTTTTTGCATCCAGTTTTATATTATGCTATTAATAATAAACCTTTCGTTTTCATGTGCAATTTACATTCTGCGCGGTTTATGTCGCCTGTGAACGTAAAGTTTTAATTACTGTCTAGCTTTTGAACCCTTTACGAACTTCAGAAACTCCTTATAAAATAAGTCATACAATTTATGTACATTCTCTACGCATTCAAATGGCTTTAAAGGCGTTTTCCTCATTTTTCTTCATTAAAATCGTTTCCTACTGTCCATCCCTTCTTGATGTTTAAAGAGAAACTCGAAAATTAAATCATCAAAGCCCGAGTAGTCATTTATCGGTTAAAATGCGTTGTCTATACTCAGAGAAATTACCTAGGCCAAATCTGAAGCCGTCGGCGAAGCGGGAGCTGGCGTTGTGGAAGACGCAGGCAGAGTCCACGTCCCTCTGGAAAGTCGCAGCCTTCTCCTCTGAAAAGCAAGGCAAAATTATATTATATAATTTAATATTCCATGTATACAATTTTTGTGCCAACCACGTGAATGGTTACGTAAGTTTTTAAAATACAAAGACGGTGTAATTAATAAAACAGACTCACCGGTTACACTGCAAAAAAATATTAATGCCTTAGAGACTTACTGTAATAAATGGAATCTTTCGGTCAACCTAAACAAATCCAAAATTATGGTTTTTCGTAGGGGAGGCAGGCTTGCGGCTAATGAACGCTGGTATTTTAAAGGCTCTCGCATGGAAACAGTCAGTGAGTATAAATATTTGGGCCTAATTCTCACCCCTAAACTTTCACTCAATGGTCATCTCAAGCGAAAAACTCATATTGCAAAATGTGCATTGAATTCAATTTGGGCTAAATTCACTTCCAAAAATCTTGTCCCGGTGTGCAGCAAATACAAGCTGTTTTTGGCTGTTTGCCGCTCGATTGTGTCCTATGCTTCCCAGGCTTGGGGTTTCCAGAGCTATAAAACAATTGAATCCCTACAACGCTATTTTATCCGTAAAATTTATCACCTCCCTTCTTTCACGCCTAACTGCATGATCTACCTCGAGACCTCAGCTGAACTTTTGTTTCAATTTACATAACATTTACATACTTCCTATGTCTGCAGGGTTCTAAACCTTCCTAACTACCGCCTTCCTAAGAATACAGCGCTGGAAATCATAAGGTCATAAGGTTCTCTTCCTGGAATAACTTGGCTCAACAATTTCAGCTGAATGACAATTTTACCCTGGACAATTTCAAAGAGTGGCCACTTTTACACTCAAAATTAATTAACAATATCCGCACTTCTCACAGAGTGAAATGTCTCCTTCATGCTCAAAATTCTTCTAGGTTTTTGCTGTATAAGGACCTTAATACCAGTAACCTTTCTTGAACATAGCGCAAAATTCTAAAATTCCGTCCATTCCGCTAGCTCGGTGGTTTTTCAAAATTAGGTACGAGTTACTGTACCTTAATTATAACCCCACAAGAGTCAATAGTTCCAATAGGTTCTCTCTCTACAACAGGCAGGCCCGAGAAGATTGTTTTCATTTTCTAGCAGAATGCCCAGTTTTCGCGGAATTCCGAGCACGGCATATAGGCTTGCCCACGTTGACGAGAGAGTCTTTAAATCTGGTAAAGTTTGCGATGGAAGCCTCGAACTACAGAAAAATGCTTGTTTTTTATTTCAATTATTAAAGTTTACTGTATATATCAGAGACACACTGGTTATTTATATGTGCATAAATAAATATGTTGTTATTTTAGTTTACTTATATAGTTTTTTCTCTCTTTCTTTTGTTTATTCCTTAAGAAGAAATGTGTTCCTTGTTTATTAAAAATTTATAATCCGACTCCGGCAGACGGTTGATAACAATTGTCGTTATGTGCTTTTTGGTTATGTACAATTTTTTTCTTTTACTCTCTTTTGTTTATCTAATAAAGTACTTTTTCATTCATTCATTTTCAATTAATAAAAGTATAGACTCTAACAAGTTTCGAAACTTAGCATTCACGAATAATTAATAATTGATTTTGTGACTTTTCAGTAATAATATATGATGAAAAATGTCCAAAAGGAGGGAAAATTCGAAAGGTTGTAGGTTGAGATGGGGAGTTGGTGTCCGAGTGGAACGAATTCACGATAGCTCAAGTGGTAGAGCAGCGGCGTATCTAGCCGAAGATCGTGGGTTCGAATCCCGCTCGTGGCACTAGCTTTTTCATTTCAACCAAAACCGTACATAAAAGGATTAATTAATTAAAATATATTATATTTTATAAATTCAATTTGTACTAGCCATGTGAGTAGTTAGGTTATGTAAATTTTTTAACCAAAGTTGATTAATATGAAAGCTTTTAACGTGTACTAATTAAATAAAAATAAGAATGATTAAGTTTCAATTGTCAAACCACAGGACGTGACCACCGCAATCAAGCCCTACGACAATGAAATTCAAAAGAAAATAGGAGCTTAGGCCGATCGGCATAGAAGCTTCTACGTATCAAATCACTGTGCGGTCGATAGATGGCCGTCCAAAGTTCTGGATCGCAGAAGAGGAAATATCCTCCTCCCATTTTAAGCCGATTAAGAATATGACGTGCGAGACTTTTAACTATTAAACCAAAGCACGCGTGTATACCCGTCATAGGTTGCTCGATATGGTCAACTTAATTGAAAAGTGCCGTTTCTTGGCTCCGTATAGAGAGCGTGTAGAAATACCATCTGATAAGTGAATTGCGCTCGAACACGGTAGCGGTCTTTCGTTCTCCTGTTCTGATTTTTTTAGGAAAAATATGTCATTTATCGATATTTCGTCTTATGTCTTTGTATAATTGAGAGTGAATGTATTTATTTGTTTGAATTTGTATAGTCATTAGAAGCGACAGTGGTACATTGTTTTGTGTGATATGTGAGTTGAACTTGTAAAAAATAACCAATTAAATGCGTCGAAGCTAGATAAGTGGAATCTCTTGGCAGGATTTCAATTCCAGTTAAATAGATATTTCAGTTATCCAAGGTGGTAAACTAAACTCTCTCTCTAAAAAGGTGGTAATAAAACTAAATACAATTATCATATTAATGAAAGTAATCATTGATTTTTTCTGTACTTCACTTTGAAACTTCATTATTTTTTTCTGTATCATCCAATTTATCGAATATTTAATCCTCAGTTTCTTTAGTCATTTCGAAAAAGGTTTGCAACTGTTCAACCAATTTATTGCATAATTTTTGGTTTCTGATAGCCTCTCTAAATTTTCCGCATCTTTTTTGTCGTCTGCATTGTTCAAATTTTCATTGTCATCTGACGATTTAGATTCTTCAAAGATTTCTATATCATTTTGTTCTCCTGCTTTTACAATTTCATCGTGTATGAGAACATACTGTTCAAATGTTGTCAGCTTCTCATTGGTATCACCCAACGCTTTTTACCAATTCTGTGGCTGTAGTCCGAAAATATCCCTTTCAGATTCCATTGGCACATCGTGTCAATCGTGTTTTCGAGCTCAAACCCAACCTTGGTTAAAACTATTTGCAATCGTGCAGCTAGTTACAATCTACACCTTCAAATATTCATCGCAATGTGTATCCCACTTATAGAGGTAAATGTCGTTGCGAGGCAGCATCCAGAAAATGGATTCTATTTGTAGAAGTGAAAACATCTTAGTTAAAAAGTTTATTTAAAGCAAAAATTATGTGATTTCAAGTTTTATACTGCTTTAGAGGCTACCACTTATGCAAGTACCACTTATTAGGCTGCAATTTGTTTGAAATAAAAAATGATTTCATTAGAAAATATTATAGGGGTAAAAAATAAATAAAGATACAATAGTTATAGTAAAAATTCTGAAGAGGTGCCTTCATTAGTAGCTGTAATATTTTTGATAATGCGTGTTTTTTTAGTGATCGGTTTTCAATAACGAAGTCGAAGTCTTTAAGAATGGCCAATAAAAATTTTTTTAAAAAAGGCAAACACTTTTTTAATTTTTTACCGACGTTTCAACCATTATTCGGATCATCTTCAGAGCCTAGAAAACAAATATTTCATATTCTTCAGTGGGAACGTGCAGATTTTTGAATAGGTTGAGTGGCCTCTAACAACCAGGCTGAACAACTGGCTAATAGTGAAAGCACTAGAGTGGGTAGATAGTCAGTCTAAAAATGTACAAAAAATAAGAATAGCTACTGACAGTAGAATCACCATTGACTCGCTGCTGAACACCAAAATACGTCTGACCCTAATAGAAGACATAGGAAGTAACCTAAAGCGGATTGAGAAGAGTCGTACAGTCTCATTCTCACGGGTCAGGGCGGGAAATGAGATCGCTGACCAAATGGCTAAGGCTGCTTCCCAAAACGAATTGCATTTTGCATATTCAAAGGTCCATCTATATGCAGTTAAGAGATGCCTGAATCAACGCAGCTTGGCTAGATGGGAAGAAATTTGGTGTAACTCTATCCAGGGATGACTGACCAGGGAATTCTTTCCATCGGTCTTAAGCCGCTTATAAAAAAGCCACCTGCGAATGGACTAAAGGCTTACTCAAATACTGAAAGGACATGGAAAATTGGAGGAGTATCTTTTTCGCTTTAATATTATCCCCGACCCAGCTTGATCTTGCAGTCGGTCGCCTCCTCAAACAGTGGATAACCTTCTTCTGGAGTGCGATGGAGTGATGACTGCCAGGCTTTCGTTGTTACACACATAGTGACCCGGGGCTTACATTAGCCGCCTCCAACTAAGTCATACTTTTTAGAGACCGAAATGCTACCGTATTTTATGAAGTTGGTATCGGGAATAATGGCGTTCATGAATAATTAACACATATGTGTGGTGTTTAGTGACGTTAATCAATGATTATTCGTAATCGTGAGATGCGGTCTGGTGTGCGGTAGGTTTTAGAAAAACATTTTCTTTATCGTGCCAACGTTTCGATCTTTATAGAGATCATCTTCAGAGACTGGGATTTATAAACATTGTTTGAATTTTACAAATACATATAGGATGTATTTTTTGTGTTTTTTAGGATGTTCTTTTCACATCCTACATGTATTTGTAAAATTCAAACAATGTTTATAAATGCCACGCACTGAAGATGATCTCAATAAAGATCGAAACGTTGGCACGACAAACAAAATGTATTTCTAAAACCTACGTCACACCAGACCGCATCTCACGATCTCCGAATAATAATTAACACATAATTGTAATTAATATTGAACAGTTAAAAAAAAATTAAGGTAATTTAATTGTGTTAATAATTATTAGAAATTAATATAATACTGAGCGAAAAAAAAGGATCAGTAGTATTACTTTATTTTTATATTGTAAATATGCTTTGTAATTTTTAATTAGGTTATTTTCATTATGTTTAATTCATGTAATGCTTAATGTAGTGGAGCATGATGAACAAATAAACAAAAAAATCATATGACACTACAAGAATACCACCACAGTTCATGTGAGTAATGAAATACTTGGTAGGAAAGGACATACTAAAGTTTGTGTTTATCATGGGTTGACCATTTAATTTTTAGCCGACTGTTAATATTCTGTTGAGATAAGGTGGTTAAATGTTAGAACTCGGTTGCAATATGGAAGGTCAAGACATAGTATAACATCGTTAGTCCCCCTTGGGAAATAAGCCAAGTCTCCACTAAGCTTTCAACAAGTTATCACTTCTCTTATAATGACCAAGCACTCTCTCATTCCCCCCCCCCTTTCCTAATATTCTCCATCCAATCGTTTTCGAAAAAGGAAAACATTAAACTAATTAGTATAATGTTTAACTTAATTTTATGCCGGCGATTCGCCAATGGGCCAAAACGGTTATTGAGGGATTTTGATTGTTTAGTTAATTTAGGGGAGGTTGAACCCTACGCTTTTTTAAATATATTCCATGAATATTGAAGAAAGAAAAATAGCTGCAATTTTTGTAATGTTATACTTAGCTTTAAAAATAATTGAAAGATTTTAATTTCAAAAGTTCATATTTGTTATGAATGTCTCAGCAATTCTTTCAAACAGAACCAAGGGCGGATCCAGGTTGGTCATCGGTGATGGGGGGTAAAATTTGGATTTTTTAAGGCACAGAAGACCTAAAAACGTGCCAATCGAGAGAAAATTCTACACAACGTTTTTCGCCCCAATGCAATACTTTCTCCTACTTCAAAGGGAAAAATAACACGATTTAATAGTTTCAATACTTTAATTTCAAAAAGGAACATATTTTTCATATATTTTCAAAATGTTATCCCTCAAAGTCTGCAATTTAAATGTTTTTAGTCACCAACATTAACAAATATAGAAAATTAATCACCAACTTAATGGTTAACACATCGAGAGATCGAGTCGGAAGGACATGTCTAATCAAAAAAAAATCAGTCTGCAATGTAACTTTTTAGCACAAAACATAAACGGACTAAATAAACCTTCATGGCAGTAATGTGTGAGAAGTAGACTTCTTTTATTTGAGAAATCAATCTAGCAGTGCTAAAAATTTGCTACTTTAAAAATTATAGAACAATTTGAAAATAATGGGTATATGTTATTATTTATTTTATAGGAAACATAACATCATAAACATATTGCAATAGGATAAAAAATTAATCAACTGTTTTTGTTTCTTATTAATAGCTGGCGTTAAATTAAATTAGATTCGGGCCAGGTTTTTCCTAGACCATTCAAAATAATGAAAATGAAATAATGGTTTACTGGTTAACTACCTAATTTGAAATTTTATTTATGATATTTAATTAATTATTTTCTCGCGTTACTTCAGTATTACTTTTTGGTAACATTGTGAGATTTTCGGAAAAAGACGTGTAATGGCCACGGCATATTTATTAACAATATATACTATTATAATTAATTAAGGTTTTTAGTTGAGATAAAAAGTCAATGGCACGAGCGGGATTCGAACCCACGATCTTCGGCTTGATAAGGTGCGGTTGAGATAGGAAGAAAATGTCCGAGTGGATCGAGGTCACGATAGCTCAAGTGGTAGAGCAGCGGCGTATCAAGCCGAAGATCGTGGGTTCGAATCCCGCTCGTGCCAATGACTTTTTTATCTCAAATAAAAACCTTAATTAATTATAATATATTAATTGGTCAAGCGGACCACGACATTAGTGAATTTAATATATACTATTTTAAGGACTTTCGCTTTTTACCGTGATTTCTTTGTTAATTTAAAAGCAATCATGGTATATCTGTAACCAAAATTAAAAAAAGTCTACGTTTCATTTTATTATAAAAAAGAAATTAATTTGATCTTATAAACCAAAGAAATTAGGTTTGAAAATGTCGTATTTGAGAAAAAATCCGATTAAAAATTATGTTAACATTTAAAATCCTTGGATTTGAGCCAAACCGAGCTTAAAAATTAGAGGAAGAATCCAGCCTAAAATCCGTACCAAAAACGTGAAAATCCAAATGAGGGGCGTAGCTCGGAGGGAATTCAGTTAAACAAACAGAGATGTTGTTCGGGAGAAAACGCAAAAATGGCTAAAATATTGATTGAATTTTTGATTTTAATCGCCTATAACTCTGCGATCACCAGACGATTTGGCTGAAAAACAATCTCAACCATTTTTTTTATTTTTTAATGGCTTTATGTTCTATGTATATTAGGCAATGACAGACAATATGTTATGCGTATTCGTTTTTTTTTTGGGGGGGGAGAAGGGTATCGTGAAAAAAAAGGCCAGAGGCGACGGCGGGAACTGAACCCACGACCGCGGGGTCTACGAGCCGAGAGTCTCTCACGCTAACCACTCCGGTACCGCGGCCCCCAATCTCAACCATCCTTATAGGATTTTTTACCACCCTGCTAAATTTCATTGCAATGGGATCAAAAATGCGGCCGGTAGAAAGCGCTAGATGTTTGAAAGAAATTTACCTAAAATTAAACATCAATTTACAGATTTCTTGATATCAAATCGAGTGATCGAAGTATCGAACCGGGAGGCAAAAAAGCCAAAGCGTGACCAGTTAAAAGGAAACTGATTTAATTTTAAAGGTGTTAATTTAAATTTATTTAATTTAAAAGGTTTAACAGAGGTAAGAGATCAAGGTTTTATAATTCTGAAATATAAGCCTCTTCGCTTAATTAAGGCTAAACTAAAACACATAACAGATAACATTTTCTGGGGGGGGGATTGTAATTCCCCTTTTACACCCCCCCCCCTTGAGCCGCCACTGAACAGAACAATATGTATTTAGTTTAGTCCCGAAAAAAGCGAATGATTATGCTTCAGAAATAGTTTAAGATATTCTGCGAAATCATAACAAAAACGATATGAAAGTAACTCAGTTATAATTTAAAAATACATAATGTTGATTAGTTTTATGTACAAAAAACACGTGTTTTTATTAGGACAGAGGTTCTTTATCAGGATTTCAAAATAACTATGTATCAAAATAAGTTCTGTTATTGCGAATACAATTGATTCAATTCTCAATGGTAAAGCAAAACCAGTTTTTTGACTGACGACTGAAGGATTAGTTGGAACATCGTTTTTAAATGGCACTCTTGGGAAAACGTGTAAGACCCCTTGGAATCCATCCCATGTGAAATGATTGTTGAGGAAAAATATGAGAGGAATATTTGAAATATCTGGCCGAAGTTGTTGGTTTAATCTACCTGGTAATGATATTATGTTACGAATATAGGAAGAGCTTTGTAATGGAAAGTCCATGCACGTCTCCTGAGTTGGTGGTTTCTTAGAAATCGGAGCTCGTGATAGGAGAAACCAAAATTAAAGAGGACAATCGATATCTAATAATAATAGCAATGTGGAAAGTTTAGCGGTCGACAAACAGCTGAGGACATCGCCGGCCCTCTGAGTGTTTGTACTTCTTTTTCTGGTTTTAACACGTACTTTTCAACCTGCACCCATTTGAGCGTCTCGAACTCTCACTGACTCTCTGTTTTTATATAAAAACTAAGTAGATATCTTAAAATACCAGCTTCTCTTCCTACCCCATGTCAAATCAGAAAAGACACAAAACATCGGATACATACATCTTCATCGCAAACATAGATGCCTGGGCACATTCACTCCCCAAGAGTTCTTGATATTCCTCAAGGTGGAGTTAAGCAATCATTTGAATGATGATAACCTTAGACTTAACGTTTGATTAATGACATATAATAATCATGAAACGAATTTCAATATACAAACGTTATAATTAAAACATCGATTTGTTTGGAACTTTGTGAAAGATTCTTTCATTGATCGACTGTACCGGGATACTATTTTTTTTGTTTATGAGATTATACGAATGAAGGTATCTGAGCAAAAACTAAATTTGCTACCTGCAGATAAAGGACAAGGTTTCGAGAGTATGCCCGATAATCTGATTGGACTCGTTCTATTTCCTCGCATAATCAAGACTGGAATCCTATTTTGAGAAGATGTAATAACAGGAACAGAAGTATACATAAGTTATTAACAATTAATTAAAAATCGCTTAACCATAAGTAAAACTAGAATTGAAGTACGTCAAGTGGTTGATTAAAATGGAATGAAATCTGTTTCAGGAACGAAACAACTTGGGCACGAAGTATTTTTTAAAACTTTAAAACAATTCATTGTACTTACTGTTTTCGGTAACAATGACTTCAGTGTGACCGCTGCCGAATTGTGAGATGTGATCGACTGCTTCTTGGACGCCGCTGACTACTTCGATGGCGCACTCGAGGGCTCCGTACTCCGCCCTCATGGACTTGGCCTCCGGCGGTCCAAATGTTAACTTTGCTGCCAAATTTGGCCCAGAATAAACTGTTACCTGTAACATTTAAAAAAGTTTTGTTTTTGACGGTCTTCTAATGTTTAATGTTATTCATAAAATATTTTCGTTGTATGTAATACATCTCGTAAAGATCCAGTTGAGCTCTGATAGCAAAGAAGGCCGATAATTAGTCCACGGATTTTGGTAAAAGTGAAGTAAAAAAACGGAAGCTGTAAAATTTAACATAGTTTTGGGGATGGCTTGGGTTAGGTTTTAATTTATTAAAAATAAGGATTCTGCGTGAGACGTACAAGTAGAAAAACTCAATTCTCTGTTGAGCGTTTGGCTTTGGGTAATGTCTTCAACATGAGTTAATAAACGTTTTTGTAAAAGTGTTAAAATGTTATTCGGAGAAATCATACGTCGTTGAACACTACAAAGAGAGTAATTTTAGGAGAGTCCTGAGGAATTAAATGTTGGCGAATGCTCGACAAAATTTCATTTATTCCCCTATTGCCGTACCCGATCCGGAATTAATTCCTGTTGCGTAATGTATTTCTTTTATTATAGGGATAAATATAGTATTGTCGTACACAATTCACAATTTTGTCTGCAACTGAAAAGGAAAAAGGAAATGTGAAGAGCGGAGAGGTGTGGAACAGAGAAGAGCACAAAAGCGTGGAGAGGAGAGTGGAGAAGAGAAGAGGAAAGGAGAGGAGACGTGAATAGATGAGAGGAGTGGAGAGGTTTGGCAAATAGAGGAAATAAGGGGAGAGGTATGAAGCGGAGAAAAGTCGAACGGAGAAGAGTGGATAGGTAGAAGTAGAAAATCGAAAATGGGACGAGAGGAGTAAGAGCCCTGAAAAGGTGAAGAAAGGAGAGGAGTGGAGTGAAACGGAAAAGAGTGTAGAGGAGTGGACAAGAGAGTGGAGAAATGGACAAGAGTAGAGAAGTGGTTAGCAGTGGAAAGAAGTGGAGTGGTTTGGTTAGGAGTGGAGCGGAAAAGAATGCATAGAAGTGGAGAGGTTTGGTAAGGTGAGGAAAAGAGAGGAGAGGAATAGAGAGAGAAGGATGGAAAGGAGAGGAGTGGAACGCAGAAGAGAGGATAGGTGTGGAGAGGAGATGAAAGAATTAAAGATGGGAGGAGAGGAGGACGTGGTGAGTAGAGAAGAGGTTTGGCAAAGNAAGATGGGAGGAGAAGAGAAGAGTGGAAAGGAATGGAAACGAGTTGAGAGTAGTGGAACGGAATGGTGTGGAGTAGAGAATAGAAAAGTAGAGAGAGGAGTGATTGAATGAGAAAGAGAGTATGAGAGAGAGAGTGTGTGAGAAAGAGAAGGAAAGGAGAAGCAAACGTCAGCATGCCAAAATATCTTACGTTCTCTTTCTTGAACATGTTGCAAACATCGACGAAGAACCCACTGCTGATTAAGTCTTCGTGAAGTAGAAGTGTTTCCATGGCATTACAAGCGGCCGGATAGTCGCATTTTGAATCGCGAACTAGAAGATAAAATAATATTAACATAAAATTTTGATGAATTAAATAAGAAATAACATTTTGTTTCTCCGATGGAGTTTAAACGATGTAAGAAATGTTTATTTAGTTCTACAAGCTGTAATTTTCCCTATTCATACAACTCGGAATCTCTGCCGAGTGCTTAACTTGCTATTTCTTTTCTTCTTAATTCCTTTTTTCTTTTGCAGTTCAACGACTACAGTTTGGTTAAACGTTCCAACCATCCGCGATATGCAAACACGTTGGAACAGACAGAGCAATTTATTTTCCTTCGGGAGAGTGGTTTATATCTGTCAAACAGTAGAGTTTTGTTGAACTTCGTAGGAAGAAAAATAAATTGAGCTTGCCGCGTTGGTACATACAGGTTTTCTATTAAAAAATTATCGGCTGCTACTCATTCACGATGGACCATGATTTAAAAAATATTAAGTTAATGAAACAATCAGATTTTGTAGACAATGTAAATGAGCAATGCTTACTGATTTTGAGCGCTTTCTCCAAATTGGCTTCGTTGTCGACGTAAACATGGCAGATCCCTTCCGCGTGCCCGAGTACCGGTATGTGTTGGCTTTGTTCCTGGATGTTACGAACCATCTCAGTCGAACCTCTGGGGATAATCAAGTCTATGTGCTTCTCCAAACTGAGCAGGTCACTGATTTCTTCCCTTGTAGACACCTGCAATTGTAATTATTTTAATCTAATTTGTTAGTAACAGACAAATAAAAGCAGTATCATTATTCACTTGAAATATTGTTGTGCAAATTGAATTTTTGGGAAAATGAAAATATAAATTAAGATTTACGGTTACGGTTTCGATCAAAAGGGAGACTCGACGAAACCATTTACTTATCTAGCAATGAAATATAACTTTTTTTTTCATGCTTACGAGAGAAATGGCATTTTCTGCTCCGACTGTCTTCAAAGCTTCAGTAATGACTTCCATCAACGCTTTGTTACTGTGGGACGCTTCTTTTCCTCCTTTAAGCAGAAGTCCGTTGGCAGAACTCAATGCCAAGGCGGCGACCTGATTAACAAGAAAATATTACAACAATCTCAAAGCAACAGAGGGCTAATGATATTGTTACTTGCAGAACCTAAACCTTAAATTACAATACCTTCCTATACATATTAGAAAATATATTGGTTCACAATAATTTTGTTAAAAAAATAAATCAATTTAAGTTCTTTACTCTGTATTATTTTGATATTGAAAATTTTTTAAAATATGATATATACCTTTAATAACATTAAAATATTATTTTAAGAATTTATGATAATCCATTTCTCAAAGAGAAAAATTTACCTGAATTAAAAATTTTGTATTCATTGTTTTCATTTGCTTTTGAAGCATATTTTCTCCTCGTTCTCAAACAGATGTTTTGTATTATTTATCAAACAGAATAAAAAATATTAATTGATTTTTTTATTCGATAGAAGAGGATCTACCCACCCTCTGTTCTGAGTTGTTCTTAGAAATTAAGCTTGTTATCCACGGTTACTGCTAAATAAATAATTCTGTCAGCCCGAAGAACCTGATAACCGTTAACTTTCTCGCTAAAAATTTGGCTGGTCTAGAGAAAAATATGTTTTCAATTTTTGAATTATCAGTTTCCAGCGATTACAGAAGTGGGACACCCTACTTACAGCCTCTACCACCCTCCTAACAATGGAATCCTGCCTATAGGCAGATCTGTAACCCGCTATTGTCCGCATATAGCGTCAACTGGCAATTAGCTGGGGAAGAGTGTCGGACGTAATAAAGAAACCTGAGGGACTCGGGTGTCCATAACTCATCAAGGCAGGTTTGCAGTTATGTTGATAAAAGTTAATTGTATCCTTCTTGTACGGCTTTACTGATCCTTTCTTTCTCAATGTAAAGTTTTCTATTAATTAAAGTTTTTAGTTGAGATAGAAAAGTCAGTGTCACGAGCGGGATTCGAACCCACGAACTGCTGCTCTACAACTTGAGCTATCGTGACCTCGATCCACTCGGACACTAACTTCCCATCTCAACCCTACCTTTTTTTAATTTCCCCTCCTTTTTGCCATTTTTCAAATGTCGTGTAATCTATTTGATTCTCGGCGACAAATGAAATGGCCACGGAGAGCTTTAGTGAAGGTAAACTTCATTTGTACTTATTAAATTCACTAGTTTTAGTGGTCCGCTTGAACAATTAATAAATTTCAATTAATTAAGGTTTTTAGTTGAGATAGATATCGAGGTGAGATATTGCTTGAGAGATTGCTCAAGTGGTAGAGAAGCGGCGTATCTGGCCGAAGATCGTGGGTTCGAATCCCGCTCGTGCCAATGACTTTTCTATCTCAACTGAAAACCTTAATTAATTGAAATATAATTATTGGTCAAGCGGACCACTAAAACTAGTGAATTTAGTAAAGTTTTCTCTTACTTTCTGATCATTTAGTAAAAATTTCCATTATAATCAATCAGCTCATGATTAGTACCTTAAATGTTGACGAATTAGGCACGCTCGCTGACTCAGATTGAGTTGAAATTAGGAAACATCAGATCAGATGTTTGTAAGATGTTCGCTCGTGTTAATTCGAATAGAGAAATGTCCAGTAAGATCGTGAATGTTCCCTTCTTTTCTTAGCATGTTAAATGTTATTGCTGCGCGTGGCGATTGGTAGAACCAAAAATAAAGCTATAACAGTCCTTGAAGGCTTGTTGTTGTTTGTTATGGTTTTGTATTGTGTTAAATTGTAAGATGCCAGAAGTTAATAAGAAAGGAAAATTAATCAACTCTTTCATTCAAAATGTTATTTATATACTCGAAAAGTACTAACAAATGACACACTTCAATTCGTGCCGACATGCCTAACTTGTATCCCAACGTCAAACAGCCTACAATTTTATTAGATAGATAATAGATACATCTATTATCAATGAGAGTATAAGAATAGGTCAGAAATTAACAAAATAAATGTACTGGTCTGATTTAATTAATGCGTATTTAAGAAGTACATGTAAATAAAAAAACAGCTGTTAAATTCTGTGACTACATTTTCGACCTAACATCTAGCATTGGCCCTGGTGTGTTAGATCGAGCAATGTTAACTAGCCAATTCTTACAGATCTAACAAGATCTAGCAGAGTTAACAGGGTTACAGGCATTGCACACCAACAGTTGAAACGTCTGCGAATGGTCATAAGCCATATGACGATCTTCCGTCTGATAACATGCCAAAACAGAATCTTATTCTAATATTAATTATGACTTTTTGGTGGCTCTACATTGTCTTCTCTACCTAAGCTAAAACAGTTCTTAAAGGCTTCTTAAAGAAATGTATTTGTCTGATTTAATTAATGCGTATTTAAGAATAAAAATACGTGTAAACACAAATCTTCTGTTAAATTCATGGCTGCCATGTTGGTTAGCTCCGCCCTAACGGATAGCAATGTGACTACATTTTCGACCTAACCCCTAACATTGGCTCTGGCCTGTTAGATCGAGCAATGTTAACTAGCTGATTCTTACATGTCTAAGTCATCATTTTTCTCGATATACCTAACAGACTTAACAGGATTAACACTAAGATCGTGAATACCTCTATAACCGAAAGAACAGTGTGACACTATAGGATCTGGTAGACCTATCTATTGGTATACAAACTTGTTAGGGACAGTTTTGTTCATTTATTTCTTTAAATATTGCTTCATAACAATTGAAAGACTTGGATGGATAATACCGGAATATTTCAACGTAAGTACATGATAATATTAATTTTATTAAGTGTCAGAGTGCGGGCGGCGTAGTTAATAAATTACATTAATAACCGAAATGAACTTGGATATGGTACGATCATTACACGCGTACTATACAGGAGACAACATGAGTAATGATTAGGCAAAGCAGATTAGGCGGACTCACCCCGTCCTGTATTAAATTATCGGCAGCTTTTATCTGGCTGGATACATCAAGCGGAAGTTAGGTTCAACACTTTGAATTAATTATGTGGGAAAGGACAAATCGACCACATTGAACTTTTTCCCTCTTGATTCCATGATTTACAAATGAAAGGCAAAAACCCTCCTCAATCAGCACGTTTGTCCTTCTCATTTATTTTTTCCCGACTCCGGCAATAAAAATCACACTGACTATCCAACAACAACAACCTGTGACCAATCTAGATAAATTTAAATAGAAAATCTTTTGTTCGTCAAATAATACATGATTAAATCGATCATCGCACGCTTGTTCTTTTAAAATTCAGCGCACGTCTTTGACGCGTGAACTTTCCCTTCGGGTATACTCGACCCTGATAAGCCTGGGGTAGAAATGTATTTTTGACGTGTTATATTTTACAATAAGAAAGAAGAACTTTAAGACTCATTCTTTTATATTAAAATAAGCCGCTTTCTCTCCTCAATGGTACAAGGACCTCTATTCTACGTTTTGAGAATTGACTAATTAGAGAGGATGGGAAAGCGTGTTGAATGGAAATAATGCAACATGTAGCAAATTGAGTAAATTAAACCAATAACAAACAAAAATCCTTATATTAACAACTTTTAAGATTTGAATTTATATACGCTCAATATGGAAATGTATGTTCATACATACACATATATGCTTAGTTGAGCTTATCACCTCTCGCGGTCCACCGGCAATCCCAGCTTTTCTAATTTACAAAAAACTACCGGCCGGCCTCGAGAATCACCAACCCCTGGACGTCCAGTCACCGAGGTTATGCTATCAATAGCTAAGTCAATTCATCCTCCAAACCATGTAGTACCTAGAATCACTCTCACTCATTCGTAAATGCATTCTTTCTCATACCATCCGCCCAGTTATGATGGTGGAGTGGTCAATATTTCTTCATCTACATAGTTATATAACTAACCTAATTTAGGATCAATGAGGTACTTAATATTCCGCCATATACTCTCACACTGCACATTCACGCTAATAAATACATTCACTCTTAACACATGCTAGGACAACATTATCTGTATTATGTACAATAAGGTATATACACCTATATACACTTTACTCCTTGGTATATAAGTGTCCTCTATCCTCAAAAAATCGGAACAGGAAACCAAGGTATTCGCTGTATTAAGCTCGATTAAATTAATAATATGATTAAATTTACTAATTTCGTGGTCCGCTTGACCAATTACTATATTACAATTAATTGTGGTTTTTAGTTGAGATAAAAAAGTCAATGGCATGAGCGGGATTCGAACCCACGATCTTCGGTTTGATACGCCGCTGCTCTACCACTTGAGCTATCGTGACCTCGATCCACTGGGACAATATCCCGCTCGTGACACTGACTTTTCATCTCAACAAAATACCTTAATTAATTCAATTTTTAAACTTAAAAATGCTACTTAGTGCTGAGGATGTTGCGGCTGGTGTGTTAATTAATGGCTACTGCCATCAGAGTTCCCTAGGGCTAGACTCCAAAGAATATGTATATTTGGTGTTCCAACATTAAAATACATTAGATTTCGTGGTCCGATTGAGCAAATAACTTTTTTCAATTAATTAATTAATATTTGAGTAAGATATTGGTTGAAATGAGAAAGTTAGTGTCACGAGCTGGATTCGAACCCACGACCTTCGGCTAAATCGGTGCTCTATCGTGACTTCGATCCACTCGGACACCAACCTCCCATCTCAACCGCACCTTTTGAATTTTCCCTCCTTTTTGCCATTTTTCAAATGTCGTGTAATCGGATTGGATTCTCGACGACAATTGAAATGTCGACGGAGAGCTTTAGTGAAGTATACTTCATTTTAACTCATTAAATTCACTAATTTCGTGGTCCGCTTGACCAATTACTATATTACAATTAATTGAGGTTTTTAGTTGAGATAAAATTTAAAATTTTTAGTTGAGGTTCGAATCCCGCTCGTGCCATTGACTTTTCTATCTCAACTAAAAACCTCAATTAATTAATAATATGAATAAAAATTGTTTATAGAAACTCTACGTTCCAGTTGATAGAAAGACAAAGAGTTTCAATGGTTTAAGTGAATCAAATTCAGAAAAAAATATTGAATACTGCATACTGTCAAATATTTTAAACATGAACAATCGCCATTTAAAACGTGAACGCAAACAGCTTTTGATTCTTATTGCTGATCATATTTTACCACATACCTGGGGTAGGCAATCTGGCCTTGATTCAAAGATGACCAGTAAGACTCCAATGGGTACGGTGATTTGTTTGAGGTCCAACCCGTCGGCGAGCTTCGTCCTTCTAAGTACTCTGCCAACGTTTGTGTGGCTACTTTCAGCAATTTGGTGAAGACCTGAAACAATTATTTAAAACATTATTACCAAGTGGAGATTTCGTTTTTAAAACATGTTACATTTTGTAAAATTTGAAAGAATTTAAATTGAAGCCATCGACGGTTCATTAACATATAATTATTTATGCCTCAGTTATTATAATCTGTAAAGTAGAATTTAATTCACTTGTAGTAATTTACACAGAATTATAATATTTTTACATATATTTTCACTAATTTATTAAAAAAAACTCCATTTCCACCACAAATTCAATCTAATTAAGTGTTTCATAAGAAATTGCACAATTTGTTAAACGCTGATCATTTTTGTAATAATGTATTTTATTGAGAAGTTGGGCGCAGGTGAATGAAACATGCCAACCGACCCCCCAAAAATGAAAGTGTGATAACGTTATTTGTAAATGTAGCGAATTTTTATTATTGTAGAATTTTAACTGTTTAACCCTTTATTGCCCAAAGTTGCATCACAGCTTATTACATTATTTTGTTTCAATTCACTAGTTTTCGTGGTCCGATTGACGAAATAATATCGTTCAATTAATTAATCTTTATTTACGGTATTGGTTGAGATAAAAGAGGTTGAAAAATGGCAAAAAGGATGGAAAATTCGAAAGGTTGGGTTGAGTTGGGAAGTTGGTATCCGAGTGGATCGAAGTCACGATATCTCAAGTTGTACAGCAGCGGCGTATTTAGCCGAAGGTCTTAGGTTCGAATCCGGCTGGTGCAAATGATTTTTTTTTATCTCACCCAATACCTTAAATAAAGATTATTTTTGTATAAAGTTAGCATGAAATCCCGTGAGTTCATGGCGGGCGCAGTGTTGTTCCTGATATGTTTCGGCCATTGTATTGGCAACAATGATTTATTTGCGCCAATCCGAACTCACGGGATTTCCCGTAAACCTTTTAATAAAATTAAGTTGTCTTGCTCTGAGGCAACATTAAGCCATAAAGGGTTAAGCCGGCCGTATTATTGTAATTTCCATTATGGCAGGCACATATAAAGTTACATATATAAAAACTGTGGATGAAAAAATGCCAAACGTGTGGTAATTAGTGACCGTTAGTCGATGATTATTCACACAGAAATCTTGAGGTGCGGTCTGCTGTGATGTAGGTTTTAGAAAAACATTTTCATTAACGTGCCAACGTTTCGGTCTTTATTGGGATCATCTTCAGGGCCTGGGATTTACAAACATTGTTTAAATTTAACAAAACTATGTAGGATGTGGCAAAAAGTGAATTTATACAATGCAATTGTATTGTTTAAATTCACTTTTTTCTACACCCTACGTATTTTTGTTAAATTTAAATATATTTTGAATATAAAATAAATAATATATAAATATTTAATAACCATCCACCTAAAAATGTATTTTTTGCTATAAAACATCGATTTATGGGTTTTAAAGGGCTCTTGAAATATATAAATATTTAATAAATAAAAAATATCATAAATAAATATATAAATATATAATATTTATAAATAAATTCACTTTTTTCCACATCCTACATATTTTTGTTCAATTTAGACAATGTAATTCCCTGGCCCTGAAGATGATCTCAATAAAGACCGAAACGTTGGTACGATAAAGAAAATGTTTTTCTGAAACCTACATCACACCAGACCGCATCTCACGATTTTTGAATAATCAAATGCCAAAAGGTTGCGTATCAGGATGATCGGAAATAACCAATTGTCAGGTTCATTATTCCGCAGACTTATTTGTGAAATCTCACAAAATTATCTTTGATGTGTATTGTTCAAAGGTGAATTTTCTATTTATTATTTTCGTTGCTTTGGGCTTGTGCTGGTACGTGTGAGATACATAACACTTGCAGAAAATCTCTTAAAACTGACATGAGGGTGAAACTTTTCACGAAAGTTTGCCAGTTCTCTCTTCCGACATGCTTTACGTTTCAGAATAAAAGTGTCTACCCTCTGGCCTAAATATATTATCTACCAATTGGATGAGCCTAAATCACGGTAAATAAATTTGGTTTAATCGACATGGATATAATAATAAGGCCGTTTTGCTTTTTCATTTTTGTGTGTTTAAGCCGTGTTGAAATTCTCGGTTCTCATCTCCAATTTATAAATAATTAATGATCCATTTACCGTAGCTTTGAAGCGGTGCCTCTGTCATCAGAGGGATATTATAATAGTAAATTGCTTCCTTTCAGGTCCTCCGATACTTACTAGCGGAGCTTTGATCACGTTACTAAAAGTAAATAATTCAAGATCAACGCTGCTGCAAATTTCGATGTAGATTGCCGATGGCAGTCGAGATTGGGCGGAAGCCGGACGTTACTCTATCGCAGCGACAATTATCCCCCGGCTGGACTACAAAAGGGCGATTGCCCCAATTGAAATTGAAATGTAATATTCCGGAGATGGCTTGTTAGCCATGATGCGGAGAAAGGCGTCCAAAATAATTGGCAATCACATTTTTCCAGTCGACAGAAGAGAAGCATTCCGCGGTTACGTTATTATCTTCGGTTGATAATTTTTTGATGCCTTTCGTCAAATCTGTTTGCCAACTGAGCCTTTTATAAACAATTTTTTTCCAAATTTTTCCATAAATACGTAGACATCGATTCAAACTAATATAGTCTCATTAATTAAAATCGGTATGGGCCAAACCCAGAATTCTGTGGATTGATCCATTCCTCGCTCTAATGCCGGAATGGAATACGTTATGATGATGGATCGACAGTTAAGAGGTGTTCTAGGGGTTTGAAATTTCGTTATAGCCGTCGCAGGTTTTTCTTCTGGAAAAATAATTTAACAAAACGATATTTTTTTAAGCCATTTTGGTATCGATGAGATGAACACGTAGTGATACACGCTAAAGCCGGCCACACACTTACCCAACGCAAATCCAAAGTCTAATTTTTCATAAGGTTGTATTACCCCCGTGCACATCTGCCTGATGTTATGCTAAGCTACCCAAGTGTACACTCTGCGATCCCCACTGTCCAGATTTTCGTCGAGTAGCATCGAGTACAATCGAAGACAAAAGAACCGGACACTCATATTTTTATTCAAGCTACATGTATTATTGTCGTTATATTAATTACAACACACTTATTTTTAATACAAACCAAATTAACCAATCAAAAATTCGTTAGTTTTTATTTAAAAAAAAAAATAATTTTACTGTGTTTGTAGAAAATTGATCGAAACTCCGGAATACCATTTTTTGACATAATGAATTTAATTAACAATTTATTACATTGTTTTGCTCATAAAATTACACCATTTTCGTAGAGTAGTGTCAGAACAGGACACTCATATTTTTTGTAGTTTATTTCAAACTATGTATATGTAATTTTGTAGTTATATTAATTACAAATTCTTATTGGAATATAAACCGAATTAAACGAGATCAAAAAGTCTTGAGTTTTTATAAAAATTATTTAATTATGATGAGTACCTACAAAATTTATCAAAACACCGGAATAACTTTATTTAAAACTTTTTTAATAACTAAAATTAATTAAGGTTTTTAGTTGAGATAAAAAAAGTCAGTGTCACGAGCGGGATTCGAACCCACGTCCTTCGGCTAGATACGCCGCTACTCTGCCACTTGAGCTATCGTGACTTCAAGTAACATACGTCAATCATATAACTTCAATATAACATAAATGAAAGGTTCAGTAGAGTTCGTGGTCCGATTGACCAAATAACTTCTTTTCAATTAATTAATCTTTTTGTTGGTTGAGCTTAAAAAAAAAATGGCAAAAAGGAGGGAAAATTCGAAAGGTGGGTGTTCAAGTGGATCGAAGTCACGATAGCTCAAGTGGTAGAGTAGCGGCGTACCTAGCCGAAAGTCGTGGGTTCGAATCCCGCACGTGACACTGACTTTTTTGTCTCAACTAAAAACCCTAATTAATTAAAATATATTAATTAGTCACGCGGACCACGAAAACTAGTAAATTTATTTAAAACAATTAAATTTAACTAACAATTTTTTACATGGTTGTGCTCATAAAAGTTAACTAACGATTTCTTACATGGTTTTGCTCAAAATAGTGCATTAAGAACAAAAGAGGCGTTGCGATTGTGATACTGGTTTGTGATACACGCTGTGTGACTGTACGTCGCGTGCGCTTGATGTCGCTTAGATGTGCACACCCTACCACAACTTGACAAGGCGTCGGGTAGCATCGCATGGCGTTCCATAAGGTAAGTGTATTCCCGGCTTAAAGCCATCCGAACCTGTAGATTTTGCACTCCGTTAACTTCAGAAAAATATTAAAATTCAGTAACCATAAACAAGTTGGACCGTGCCTATACCGCTGCGCTATTACTCGATTCATCAATATCAACATTTGTAAAATATTTCATATTTTAAAAGCCTATATTTTTTTAAACTTACATGAAATGTAACTTCTCCATATAATAATTACTTTCCTATCAAATATTTAGGCAAAATATGCACGTTCATAATTCCAAAGATTATTTTAAATTAAACAATAATATTTTAATAACGAGATATGAATTTGTCTAACTTTTTCTTTTCTAACCTCCGTTATCTTCACGGGTAGAAAATTATTAGGTTTTCCCCCAAGAACAATAAAGGGATAATGAACGAAATTCCGGGCACAACTTGACTTTCCAACATGGGTTAAATACTATTTGGAACGCTGTAAACGCTCTAAATTGGAAAATCATCATCACATTCCTTGATATAATATATAATTAGTTTGGTTTAGACGAGTTTAGAACAATTTAATAAACGTAGTGCAACGAAGTTGATTTATGATTTCACCTCATATCAAACATAATCATTGACTGGAAAAGTTCTCTATACAAAATTTATGAACGAACGATGCAAATAGTTTTATGGCGATTTCATTATTTTTTAGATATTACTACAGATAAGCTACAGCAGTTTTTAATATTTGACGTTTAAAATAACATGACGTTAAGATAGTCCTTTTTAAATATTACCAGATTTGTTGACATTTTGGTGTAGTTAGTTCAAGCTTTATGCC